GTATATATATATATATATATATATATATATATATATATATATATATATATATATATATAATTTAAATCGGGATGAGAAACGGGGTCCAGGGAGATTACAAGAAGTGGAATCGAACCTTCAGAAATAAGATAAAAGTTCAGATAGCCAACAAATCAAGCTACGTATTAAGAGAACAATCCTTGAAGTTTTATCACCATTTTCTTATCCAATTGGAATGCTTTTGAAAGAACATCATCTACAAGTGGTGGATTTGTTCCAAATAATTCACTTCCAACCACAATTAGCCCAGCATTTTGGCTATTCAAAGCACCAAAAACAATTGCATTTGTATCTCCAATATTATATTGAAAATGAATTAATCCTTGTGGAAACACAAATACATCCCCTTTATTCATTATTTTTGTAAAAGATTTAGTTTTTAATGGATTTGAAGAGTCCGGAGCCAAAAATCCAACGTACAACGTACCCTCTAAGACAACAATAATTTCCGTGCCACGAGGGTGCGTGTGAGGTGGAATTAAACCATATGGTGCAAAATCGATACGAATTAGTGAAATTCCAAGAGTGTTGAGTCCAGCAAGACGATTTATATCGACTAAATTTACAAACGATCCAAGTCCTGGTAAAGGATTTCCACTAACGTTAAGTCCTGTTAGAAAGAAATCATCTGCTGTGGCCAATTTTGGATCTTTGCAAAATTTTCCATTCACGAACACTGCAAAAATAAATTATAACACTCAGAAACAGAAAAAGAGTTTAACTTCTATAAATCGAAGGAACATTTATAAAGTGGGATTGTAACATTTATTGAATTAAAAAATCATGTGTTTGATTTGAAACTAGACAGTTTGAATAAAATTCTATTTCCAATTTTAGCCTTAGCTTTCTTAAAAGACCTTGATAAAAGATCTTTTGAAGAAGGGCATACTTGTTATTTGCTTGTAAGTTGAATATGGTACTACCAATATTAAAATTAAAAAAAAGGGACAAAAATTACATACTTTTAAGGTAAAATCATCATTTGTCTCTTATAAGTTTATTATTACAGAAATCTACCAATCTGATACAATAATATAAGCTGATGCGCGAGATACATTAATTTAATGCATGAAAATGAGAAATTTTGAAAATTTGTAAAACTAATAGTGGATTTCTGTCATTTTTCACGTAAAAATAATCCCAAAATTATTTAACTTGAAATTGAAAATTTCATTAATCAAACACGAAATAAAATAATTTTATATTTTATTTTGAAATTATTTCTCATATCATGATACTAACAATTCCTATTAAAATTATCATATATATTATCGAACTATATAACTACATGTAACTGTTCGTAACGAAATGAAGGGTAAATTACCTGCATCATTGGAATCAGTAGCTGCAACACAAAAATCTTGAAGAGGGTTTGGATCAAATGAAGAACCAAAGGAAAAAAGAAGACCAAAAGTGACTATAATAATTGTTAGGACGCAAAAAGCCATTGAAAAATTTTTCTTATTAATTTTTTAGGGATGATTAATATAATAGTTAATCATAAGGTAAATTGTATTTATACTGAAAAATCTGAGCCTATTTATAGATATATAATATAAAGTTGTCACAATTTTTGATTATTTTTTTTAATGTTGAAGTAACGAAAATAGTCCTTATATTTAGAGTAGGTTCAAAGTAATCTCGAAAATATATTTTTCAATTTGTTTTAGTCATTTAAGTTTGTCAAAAATGAAGACTTTTGATTTATATATATATAAAAAATCAATTTGTATTTGTTAGATTAGACTGAAATTGTGACATAAAAAGATTTATTTAGGAACCTGCGATCGGATCGTAAAAAAAAGTATGAAATATCAATTAAAAAAAAGAATAATATAGCATAAGATGTACTTTTCTATTTTCTATAGTTTTTACCTATAAATACTACAAAGACCTCTTTTTTTTCCTTTTCCAGTAGTCCCAATTTCTTCTTCTTGTTATTATTAATTTGATAGACTTATTATTAATTTGTTGAAAATAGCCACATTGATAATAACTTGTTTGTGACATATAAACCTCATTCATCTATTTTACCTTGCTCACTTATCATAAAAGAAAAATTAGAAGTTGATATTTTACCTTAATTTAGTATCAAATTCTTGTTGATTGATACTTGATATCATGTAGTTAGGGAATAACTCAATTAATTAAGTTCTAGGTGAGTTGATAATTTAGTGATCAACAACCTCCATAGTCCTGTGAATATGCGAAAATGTTATTTATGAATGGAGACTAGACACAATTGCTTTAACGGGGACTGAAATCGTGACTATGTGCTCATGCTTTCGAAAAGAAAACAACCATCTAAAGCAAAGAGCATCGTCCATAATAGGTGGATCAGAAGCAAAGATTATATCAGGAACAAAGATGAGTCCGGGACTTTGACTGTTGAAACTAGCAAAAACTGTAGCGTTTGTACTTCCAACATTATAAATGAAGTGAATAAGCCCTCGTGGAATCACAAACACATCACCACGATTCAAGACTTTGGCAAAGAGACGACTCTTATAGATGTTATCTTCGTTAGGTAAAAGTAGAAGAAATCCCGCATAAATTGTACCATCCAAGTGTTAGGACCGAAAATAAGCAGGTGTAAACGCGGAAGCTAGCAATACAAACCTCGAAAGACCACGAGTAAGAAGACAACGAGAAATATATCAAAAGACACAAAGATTTAACGTGGTTCGGTCAATCGACCTACGTCCACAAAGGAGATGAGCAATCCACTATAAATATGAGAGTACAAAATACAGAGAGAAACAACCTCAACCAATTCACTCAGAATACATGGGAGGTTCACACAAGTGATAACATATCAAGCTTGTGACCCACAAATTCTCCCTCTAACCAAAACTCTCAAAGCCCTTAAGACTACATTGTGAATGCTGATTAAGTTAGAAGTAACATGCCTCTATTTATAGAAACCTAAACATTTTCCTACCAAAAAAAAGGATTAGTCAATTCAAAACCTTTTCCTAAAAGGAAAACCTATTTATGGTAAGAAATTTAGGGCAAATAAAACCCAACAAATCTCCCCCTTGGACTGAATTTCTGACAAAATAAATTTGTCCACCTTCTTGACTTAATCTTCAACAACTTGCTTCTCCTCTCCATAATCTCCTTTTCAAAATTTATGTCTCAACACAAAGAATCTCTCTGAAACAATTTCTCCAACAAAATCTTCATTACCGTCAAAAAAGGTTACTGCTAGAACTACACCGCCAAGATGAACACATCTTTCTAACCTGGTTCAATCATCAATTATCGAACCACTGAACCTGACTCCGTCATTAAATCTGGCTCTGATACCACTTGTTAGGATCGAAAATAAGCAGGTGTAAACGCGGAAGCTAGCAATACAAACCTCGAAAGACCACGAGTAAGAAGACAACGAGAAATATATCAAAAGACACAAAGATTTAACGTGGTTCGGTCAATCGACCTACGTCCACAAAGGAGATGAGCAATCCACTATAAATATGAGAGTACAAAATACAGAGAGAAACAACTTCAACCAATTCACTCAGAATACATGGGAGGTTCACACAAGTGATAACATATCAAGCTTGTGACCCACAAATTCTCCCTCTAACCAAAACTTTCAAAGCCCTTGAGACTACATTGTGAATGCTGATTAAGTTAGAAGGAACATGCCTCTATTTATAGAAACCTAAACCTTTTCCTACCAAAAAAAGGATTAGTCAATTCAAAACCTTTTCCTAAAAGGAAAACCTATTTATGGTAAGAAATTTAGGACAAATAAAACCCAACACCAAGATATTTATAATTTCAGTAGCTCGAGGGTGTATATGAAATTGAATAAACCCCTTTGGTTCCAAATCAGCACGAACTATAGAAATGCCTAGAGTGTTGAGCCCTGGCATATTATTTATGTCTACAATTTTTGTAGCATAACCATATTTCTTATATATTGTTTCTCCACTTATATTAAAACCCCAAGTAAAAAAATCATCTGCATTTGCCAGCTTTGGGTCTTTACAAATCTTCCCATTCACAAAAACTACACAAGTGAAAATAAAACGAATTAATAAGTCTATAAACTACAAGTAAAATAAAAAAAAAAGACGATCATTTACTAAATAGATGTCTAAAAAGGAACAATTGGAGAAAATAATACTATATAGTTATCACCTAAGATAATATTTAACATACGTACAATAGACATCGAATTTATGTATATATGGTTAGGTTTGGTCGATCGATCAAATATGTAACTTAAAAAAATTGTGATGACTATAAAAGAATGATTTACCAGAAGTATTGGAGTCTTGAACTGCAACACATATGTTTTGTAGAGGATTGTCATCATAGGCATAAGCTAATTGGGATGAAAAGAAAGTAGCAATGACTAAAATTGTTATTAACCACCTCATGCTTATTGTTAATTAGTAACAAAATCTACTTTTGATTAATTTTGAAACAAAGTTTTGTTTTTTCTTTGCTTAATTGGGCTTTGTCTAGTGCTATTTATAGTTCTTAGTTACTTTCACTATATTGAAAGGATAAAGTCCACATAAATTTGAGAGGTGACTGTTTTTAAGGATGAAGTCCACGTAATTTTGAGAATTTATTGTTTTTTTTACTTTATTGAAAATGGGCACCAATCATAAATATTCTACCAGAAAACATTTAAAAACTTTTTCCCCACTATTTTTTATTTTCACTATATTTTTTTTTGAAAATTTATTCGAAAATTTTCATTTAAATTATATTTCTATGTTTTTTATTATGGAAAAGTTCATTCAATAATCAAATACAACTTTAGAAATTTCAAATTAATTTTTTTTTGGGAGGGGGTAATAATATGTAGTAGCTTGTACGTTAATATGAGTTGGTCCACCCTATTTGGGCTAACTCATATAGACTTTGACACGGGTCAGGCTGAGTTATTCATTTTTTGTGTGAGTCAGAAAATGGTCGGCCCAATCCATAAGTATAGGGGCTTTAATTTTTTAGATTAAATTATAATTTAAAAATATTATCATAAATATCGACAAGACAATATTACATGGTGTTAGTTTTACTACGGGAAAAGGGTCAAAAATGCCCTTTAACGTATTGAAAATTACTCAAAAATGCCCTTCCATCTATTGGATAAAAAATGTCCTCTCATCTACCTATTTGGATAAAAAATGCCCTTAGAGTCAAATTTAAGCTTAAAATTACCCTTACCTTTAACAGAAGCTACTGTGACAAATATATATTTTTTAGTTAAATATGTGACATTATTTTATTGGTCCACATATATTAGACCCACTTTCATTCATAATCATACCCATTAACCCAAACCCAAATCCAAACCCATTTCTCCCATTTTCTTCATCTTTCCTCTAAAAAAAATATTTGGAATATTAATAAAATAATATCAAAACAATCAATACAAGAACATGATGTTCCAAGCATTTCTCTAAAAAATTTAAAGTCTTTCATGAGCTAATTGGAGATTGAACTCCCCCTCAACTGTTAGAGGCTCCATTTAAAAAAAAACATTTGATTAACATGGCTTGATTTGATAAGTGTCTTGCTTCCATGGGAGATTGAATGTATGATTTCCCAACTGGTAGACGGTTCCCTTTCCCCCAAATTAATGAAGAAGGGAGACGTAGTTGATTCTTCCGAAGGACCGATTTTTTTGTTCCCATTTCAGCAAATCCACTCATTTTGTTGATACATTTTGGTATACAAATTAAATTGCATCTTCACTACCACAAAATTAGTAGGTCAATTAAAAAAAATTCGAGAGAATGATGATATATAGAATTTTTTATAACCTTTTTTTAAAGATTTGAATTTACCGAAAAAATTTGATAGTATTTTATTAATGGATCTAATTACATGTGGATCAATAATTATAATGCCAACACATAAAATTTTAAAAATTATTTTTGCCACATCAGCTTCTGTTAAAGGGAGGGGTATTTTAGGTTGAAATTTAACTCTAAGGGCATTTTTTATCCAAATAAGTGGATGGGATGGCATTTTTAATTCAATAGATGGAAGAAGGACATTTTGAGCTATTTCTAATACCTTAAGGGCATTTTTGATCCTTTTCCCGTTTTACTACTTGTTAATCAAATTCACAAATAAAAATATCTTTCTAATATTTATTAAGTTTGATTTCAAGTAAAAACATAAATAGATAAATAGAAATATCAACATAATTGCTTTCCAATAATCATATATATATATATAACAAACAGTATTGCAGTAGCCTATATAGTGATTCCTTATAAACTTTAGAAAATTCTTATTTTATGTAGTACATATCTTATAAACATAATTTGTATTTAAATAGTAATATTTAAAGCAATGATCATCCTAGTTAATCAATTTATTCAACATACAACAACATTTTGTAGTGTGACATATAACCTAGGAGAATTTATTTAGTACATAATTATAATTTCTAGTAACATAACCTAGGCAAATTTCTTTCGAAGTTGTTTAAT